TGCGTGGGGCAGCAACCCGAGTTTCCTGAAAACAGAAAGTTATAAACGGCTTTTTCATTAGTCATGGAGCCATAGCAGTAAGACCACAAACAAATCAGGACTTGCACTTTTCCTCCCTTGCAGCCAAGAATATTGCAGGCCGAACCGCAGAAGCGGTGCTTATGTGACAAGACGTAGGGGGGCGGATGTTTTTTGAAGGCTGCAGGGCAAAAGCAAGACAAAATGCAGAAAGGGAGAAACCTCCCGATTGCTATTATTACTAATTATTGACAATAAGAATTATTTATATGGAAGGTAAATTTCTCCAACTCTTCCCTTTCTGCGTATTTTAAAATTATTATTTTTTTGTCAACCACTTTAGTATAAAGTTTAAGTAATATCATGACATAAACTAGGTGAAAACTTTGAGCGAAACTAGCAGTCCGAAGGTTAAGACTATCAAGATGTGATTACTGTAACAGAAAGGAAGACTCAAAACAATGCAAACGCATCGGTCAGGCGCATTTGACTCCTGGCATTTACGCGCTACATATACTGCTTTTTTCTTTTATTTTCTGTCTTCTTCTCATTATCATCACCCTCATTATTATTATTTAGTTATTTACCGGCAGAGGGAACATTTGATTAAGAAGGTTATTCTATAGGAGCAGGAATAACTGGAGTGCAAGCGCTCTAAATAAATAATTACAAGGCAAGAAGCTCTAGCCTGCAATAACTGTCAAGTCTAAAAAGGCCGAGATAACATATATAAGGTGAGATCAGCTGAAATTAGATATCCAGTTAAAGGTACCACGTGGATTTAAGTACAACACCTTAAAAATACGTGTTTCTTGCGCGCAAAATTACTGGCCTCGTTGTCTGCTTATGTCGTTCTGTTTATCTCTCTTTCTTCTGTTTTCCATACTGCTCCATACACAACTACTTTTAAAAACAAAACAAAGGTAAAAGCAAATCGCCAAGTGTGGCTGTCTTGCTTTTGAAATGCATGCGTTGCACGAAAAACACATACGCTCCATCTACACAGATCCAAGACCAATTTGCCTCTTCATCCTATAAATGGTACACAAATGAGGACATAGCTGTAGAGTCTGGAAGTCTATACATAGATATAACTACACGTTATAAACAAGCCCGCGTGTGTTTGCTGAGCGGTGTGTGGTTAGAGGGGGGGGGGGAGTTCTTATCAATCTATCAGGGAATAATAAACTATTCCAGACAAGAGTGCAAGCTAATCCAACACATGAACAGTAAACAAACGTATTTGACCCAGGGCAACTTTGGTTGCATATTTAAAGCTAACCAGACACAACCTGCATTTATGAATAAGCAGTTTTCTACACCTAGGCAACAGACTGGGTGAGAATTTGTGAAGCGCTCTCTCTCCCTCTCCCCCCCCCCTTCTTCCACTTGCATTAACGGTCTCAGATGGAAACCCTTGCCATTAACGCCCAAGAAAAATCCACTCTCCTCTCGAAACAAACAAACAAACGAGTAAACAAACGCTTCCGAATTTGCATTCCGAATCACACGACAGGATCAGAATCTGACAACATTTTACTTGGGCTGCAAGAGAGAGGGGAGCCAACGATAGCTCTTGTTTCCTTTCCACAATTAGTGGGGATGGAAAACACATGTGTGGAGTGTGCATTTTTGAAGCCTTCCTCTAAATCAGTTCATCAATTCGCTAATTAAAACGGAGAGAGAGGTCTAACGAAGCATATTTTTCTTCTTTAACCTCGGTGTGGGGGTAAAATCCGGGGGTAAAAACACAAAAAAGAGAAAACAGCCTTATGAGCGAATGGATGTTATTGCAGCTTTCTGTGAGCTCTTTAACTCCAGGGGGCGGGGAGGGGGGGGGAAAGAGACCCCAACTGCTATACAAGAACTACTCCAGGACCTGCGCATATTTTCACTGCTGTGTAGCAGTTTTAATAAAACATCTGTTCTTGCTTCTGCTGATGAGTTTACATAATTGTTTGCAGACCAATTTAACCAGAAAAAGTCCTACACATTTCCCCGTGTTGTTTTCTTTTTTTAAAGGGGGGGAGGGAAGAGTCGTCTCCTTTGATCAAATACATTATAAGAACCTTAATAATAACTTCTCCCCATATATATATCTATATATCTATATATATATATGTATATGTATGTAACACTAAAATATTAGGAATGTAACTACTAGAACGCTGAGTCTAGTATATATACAAATTTTCCAGCGTCTTCTTTCTCCCAATCCAACCAACACTTAAGAAAGGTTCTATGTTGGGTTTCTTCGCGCCAGCTGTTTTCTTTTCCCTATAATTCGACCAGACTTCTAGGTCTTCTCTTCTGTTTAGAAAAGTAATAAAACACTTCACTTTCTCCACTCGAAATCACTTGGTACTCACCAGATCCTTCCAAAACAGCTCTCTAGGACTTCTGCAAAGCCACCCCTCCAAACCCCAGCCCCTTTGCATTTGCAACCATCCCAGAAATTTTAAGGGTCTGAGATAAGGATTATTATAACACTAGAACAATGAATATACTTTTGGTGAATCGAACCTACCAAGAAAGACGGTCTTTTTCTCTTTCTCATTCCCACACACCTTGAAGTTCTATTACTTTTAATGTAGTCTTAATCTACACTGAAGTATTTTTTAAGATACTATCCAATCTAAACACAAACACACGAGGGGGGGAGGAGTCTCTCTGTGTTTGTGTGTATTATCTAACTCCCATTAAAGGAGAAAGGAAAATATCTACCTTCTATCAGTTCAGATTGATTGTGCATGGAAACCTACACACACACACACACACACACACACACACACACACAGAATGACTTTGAAAACTAGTGATATTAATTGCTTGCAGTTACCATGAGCTTCACTGAGCTCTGCTTGTCTGCCTGTCTCTGTTTATCTACTGACCTACCAACCTACCTACACGTACAGACACATTGGTTGCATTGTTATGTATATCTCTAAGTGTGTGTGTAGTGGGGTAATGTTTGGGCCCTTTTCTTCCTTCTCCCATTCTCCTAGTGATTGTATTTCTCTGCCTATGGATTATCCGGTGTAATGTGCTAAATAGCTGGGAAGCCTCAGGAAAGCAAATACTATTTTCAAAATCGGCATGCTAGTAAATTTGTCATGTGTACCAGCCTTAAATGTGTACACGTTGGGATGAGAACTGCTGTAGGATGGAAAAGCCATGTCCATTTAATAGGGAGGGATGCAGGCTAGAAGCTTAATAACAAGCTACCCACTCTTTTGCTTTCTTTTTATGTTCCCTGATTTATTTTTTTAAAGAAACTTTATTTTTTTTCATACTGACACTCAAGGAACGCTTAACATTATACAAGATGAATACTTCAGCCCTCTTTTTGTCAGTTGCAGTCTCGTTTATGGTTTTATTACTACCATTGATTACTTTGCTTTGTTGCACAGAGGAAAAAGATCATAAAATCCTTTGGCATCCGGGTTCCACTTAGAGCAGGGGTGTGTGTGTGTAGGGGGGGTATGTGGTCCCCTTCTTTCTCAACTAAAACCTTCATCCAAAAGAGGAATGTTAGAAGTATTGATTCATTACGACCAAACACAATGAGAAATATTCCAAGCTTTCCAGAAAATCGACTGGTTCTACCTTTAAAATCACTAAACAAAAGCTTCCTAACATGCCCATGGAAATAAGGCCAGTGTTTCTTAGTCCTAATTGAATTTTTAAATAGCAAGCCAATGGAATGATGTAGGAGTCTTGCTATATTTACAGATCAGCAGGTATATTTTACTTTTAAGGAACAATTTATGGCACTGGATTGAAATTAAAATTAGATTAGCTGTCTTCATTTCAATTAGTGTGTCGGTGCAAATCCACCAGAGGAGTAGAATGTAATCCACTCTCTAATCTAACTAAATATTTCAAGGGAAGTTTTCCAATCAGCTACAAATATCTGGAGTCGTAAATTTCTTTCTTCCTTTCTCTACCTCTTTCTGTTTTTGCAAACGTAAACACGAGGGGCTCTTTCTAGCAAACACCATTCCAAATGCAAAGGTAATGCTTTGGGGGGATGTTGATATTGCAAATGTAAACATTGCCATAGCAGTCTCCAGCTCTGAAAAATGACAAAGCAAATATTCAATAGAGAAACATACAAATATGCTGCTTCTTCTTCTTCTTTTTAATTCTAACCTGGACTCTGAATTTTGATTTTATATATATATATATATATAGCAACAACCCACCATCCTGGAAAGTTCTTCAAATTCCAGAGTACAGGAATGCTCTAAAAGATACAGTATCTGCCCAGCTGTCACCTGGTCTCCTCTCCTTGCTTTCAAGATTGTATTATAAAGAGCACAAGCACTTGATTCCACATTTATTGACCAACAGTAAATTAGTGGAGGAAAAGAAAATTTATGGTTTAATATTTTATGCACACTTGAGATTTATGACTATAATTTCTGAGCTATTTGGTTGCTAGGTATTAAGGAAGCATTTTCAATAGAATAAATATCCTGATTCCTGATTTCCATAACCATTTGCCTTTTCTTTTCTTTTATAAAAAAATCACCTAAAGCTCTATTTGGGTTGTGAAATTTAAAGAAGAAGTCTTTCTTTCTTTCTTTCTTTCTTTCTTTCTTTCTTTCTTTCTTTCTTTCTTTCTTTCTTTCTTCTTTCTTTCTTTCTTTCTGTGCCCCTCCCTCTTCATCCCTCTCCCACTCCCTCCCCCGAACCATACTTACTATTTCCCCCCTCTTCTTCCAAACCATCTTATATTTAGAATTTCGAGACTTACTTTCAATGCATACTTAGTTTCAACTGGGGAATCAACACAAGCAAAAGCAATTTTTCCGTGTCTTGACATCTAGCTTCCTATTGGCTCACAACGGGTCAGCTGACTTTGTCATTTTGTCTGTCCTGGAGTGGAGCCGTCCCTATAACAATCTAGTTCAGACTACAAACTGGAGACAGAAATAAATATTAAAGAAATCATACAAGCCAGGTATAGGGGGGAAGATATGAATTCCTATTTCACAAACCCGTCGTTGTCTTGCCACCTCACCAGTGGTCAAGAGGTCCTGCCCAACGTGGCGATCAATTCCTCTGCTTATGACCCTGTAAGGCATTTTTCAACTTATGGAGCAGCGGTTGCTCAAAACAGGATCTATTCATCTCCTTTTTATTCACCGCAAGATAATGTTGTGTTTAGCTCCAGTCGGGGACCATATGATTACGGATCTAATGCCTTTTATCAAGAAAAAGACATGCTCTCTAGCTGCAGGCAAAATTCTATGGGACACAATACACAAACTTCCATTGCACAGGATTTTACAAGTGACCAAAACAGGAGCACATCCCAGGAACAGAAAACTAGCATTCAAATATACCCGTGGATGCAGCGCATGAACTCCCACAGTGGTAAGTTTTACAGCTTGCAGAGATAAATTAAATAAACTGAACCATCTTTACGACCGTCTCCCTAGCAGAACAGGCTCAGCTACTTTTTATGGCCCCATAAAAACAATAATATAGCTTCCTCACAGTTGCCGCTACAGGCCTTTTATTTGTTAAGTTGTTGCAAGCGAATATGGCTTGTTATGCTCTTTCTAATTAAAAGACTTCGAGAGTGTAAAATATCTATAATAAAGTGCAATCAGCTCTGATTTTTTTTCCCTTGGAGGGGGTGGTGGAAATAAGGTGTAGAATAGAAGTGATGTGTTTTTGATTTTTTTTTAAAAAATGTATTTTCCCTGATAGGTGAGATAGGGCATTTTTATTAAGGCAAAAAAATTGCAAAGTGTCTTGTCCAATAACAGGTCCAATAACAGCTGGGGGATTTATGAAGTAGCTTGACTTCATAATATATGGAAGGAGTGTCTATTCCTAGTAATTAAAGCAGCATTGGAGTAAAATCTAATTGGATTTTTTTTTCAAGTTTGCAGAAATAATTAAAACAACACATTCTGAATCTTTGCAAATAAGATAGGAACATGCTTTCAATTAGACACCCCCCCCCAATCCTCCATGTGTGCTGCATGATTTTAATGGGTAGTAAGACTAAGGCACAGAATTAAATTGTGCAGTGGGTTGGGGGGGGGGGAGTTGGTCGGTGGATGACAATGAAGACTGAGTGTGGAGGGTGGGGTTGGGGAAAGCCTGGCTGACGGGCTTCGTTGTGTGTCTGTTTTCTTTTATTTAAGCATTTTATTTTCAAATCTGTTAACTAATCGTTTTTAGTTTGTTTCGTTTCCGAATCCATAGGGGTCGGCTATGGAGCAGATCGGAGGAGGGGGCGTCAGATCTACTCGCGTTACCAGACCCTGGAGCTGGAGAAGGAGTTCCATTTCAATCGCTACTTGACGCGGCGAAGGAGGATTGAGATCGCCAACGCTCTTTGCCTAACTGAACGCCAGATCAAGATCTGGTTTCAAAACAGGAGGATGAAATGGAAAAAAGAGAGCAATTTGAGTTCCACCCTGTCTGGGGGAGGTGGCGCTGGAGCAGCTGCAGATAGCTTGGGCGCAAAGGAGGAGAAAAGGGAAGAAACAGAAGAGGAGAAACCAAAGGATTGAAAACACTGACGGTGCTGCCAGATCCCTCTTCCTTCCCCAACACACACACACACATTCGCACACGGTCCCTCTTCCTCTTCTTTCTCGGTCTCTCGGTCTCTTTCTCTCTCGCCCCCACTCCCAGTTTCTCCTTTCCATTCTCTGTTACCACTGGCACAATCTATGCATTTGGTTGTATGAGAGAGAGAGAGAGAGAGAGAGAGAGAGAGAGAGAGAGAGAGATGTGGACGTGGGAGACCTCCCCGCCCCCATCTCCTCCATCTCTCCAGCAGTGATGCACCCACTTTCATAACTTTCTTCCTAAGGAGCTCATCAAGCCCCCCCTCCAACCTCACCAACCCCCCCCCTGCCTTTGCATCCGAGCCCAGCTATCTACCTTTGCATAAAGACTGTATTTAATGCAAACCCCTCCACCACTACTACCACCACCACCCGCCATTCCTTCTCCACTTCCCTAGACAGAATAGTTTTGCTTGCAAAAAGGCAGATTCCCCTGTAGGGGCTGCTTTGGGTTGCGTTGAGATCAACCATGTCAAAAAGGCACTCTATGCAGTTTCGCTTCCAAAACGATGATAATTATTGTGGTGGTGGCAGTGATGTAAGTGGGGGGGGGAATTGAATTGCCTACCCCTGTGAAAATATTTCCTTCCATGCCCACCTTCTCCCACACCTCCAAGCTATGTCTACCTAAATATAGCATTTTCCAGAGTAAACTAATTGTATTTAAACACTACCTGAGGTCATTATGCATTCTACAAACTGTGACAGTTTCTGTGTGAATATTTTTAGCTGTATTTGTGGTCTCTGTATTTATATTTATGTTTAGTACTGTAATGTTCAAGCAGTATAAACGTGAATGGAATTCTATAGCAAGTAGGAGGAAATAAATAAATAAATCTTGTGTTACACTCTCTAACATCATGTATAAAGGTCACGTCCAGAGGACTATGGTTGAGTATTTAATAAAAACTGGATATTATTTTTAAAAGTTACTTGAATGGTTTCTGAAATTCAGTTGGGGGAAGATCTCAGGTGAAAGAGTTTTGCATCAGCCACCACGGGTTCCGTGCGTGAGAATGCTCCATTTTTAGATGCCAGTATTCATGATCGCCTGTCAGCACGACTCTCGGCATATTTAGTCGGAAGTAAACAGGATGGTGGGCGGATATAATTTACTTCCAGTTAGGTATCCTTAAGTATATATATAAATATATATATAATGAATATCTATAGCCCATCTTGCTGCGTTTCATTTCGCGCTTTCATCCCTGAAAACTGCATGAAACCCCAACTCTCAGAGTGTTAAAAGCTCAGACATTTTATTCCCTAATTCTCGAGGCCAAATAATTGCTGAAAAACAAATGCATTTATTTATTTATTCTTAAATTAAAGCTGCCAATGGAAACTAGACTCCCAGGACACCCCTCTCTAGATATATTTATTTCGAGGTAGCAGAGTAGTGGGCAGAAATATTTTTATGTTTTATTGCAGACGCTTAGAAGGCGCAAAGGCGCGATTGACAATAGCCTAGTTTGCAGTGAGCACATCAACATTACATTGTGGCTTAGGCTCAGGAATTGCCCTCTGCTTTTATGTTTAGCTCAGAGGCATCTTTTCAACCAGGTACAAACGTTCGAGAAAGTAATCCTGTCTTCTGGAGGCATTCACTGCCTTGGGAACCTTTGCTACTCTTTGAACATTTTGCACTAAACTATCAGGTTCCGGTTAAACAAAAGAAAATACCAGCAACCCCCCAACAAGACGATTCCTTACCCCCGCTTGTCCGTAAAATTTGGAAGGCTTTAAGAACATCTCTCTTTAGATATGCCACAAAAGCCTAGCACATGTAGTAAGTAGAGAGATCATATAAATTTCAAATGCAAATATATGCAACATAGAGGACGGGAATGCAGGTAACAATATTTAAGAGATTTGCTCCCGTATTTCCAAATGTCCCTCTGCCATAATTGAGCTAAACATTAAAATAAGTACCAAACATAAGCGAAGGGTAATATAAGGACTTTTAAAAGGGCCACTGAAATTAAAAGTTTATGTTTTATGTTAAAGCTGCCCCCCCAAAAAAGACCACGTAAACCTGAGGTGGTAAAAAGATGAAATGATATATTTATAACTCACATAGGTATTCCAATGTTATTTATTTTATCCTATTCTTTAAAAAAGTTTAATAAGTGGGAAGGAAAATCTTCTCTGTTTCCAACTGTTTCGCTAAACACCCCGGCGGAAGGGAATATATTTCTCAAGAGAAACCGGCAGATCCACCCTCATGTTTGCAAGCAGGAATTTGCAGTGAGGAAGGGGAGCCCTGGCACATACCTTCACCTGCCTGATATCCCCCTTTCCAAGCTTTTTAAAGAGGCGTCTCACGTGCCCACAGACATACAGACATACAGACACCAAAAAACAAGGTGAATGTTTATTCATTCGCCCAAGGTACAAAGCTGATTTATGGGGAGGCTGCGTTGATTCATAACCTCCAGTGAACACACACACACACACCCCCCAACTCCCAAAGATACTGCACTCCACATATACAGAGAGATATACAAAGAACAGAAGATTAACACAACGTAGGTTTCAATCTGTTGCACGCGCCTAGTCATAAAAGCAGTTCCATGCGACCAGTTATATATGCATCCATGTCAACAATGCAATGTATGCATGTGCATAAAGCATAAAGCGTACAGAGCACACTGACTTTACTTCCTGCAGCATATCCCACTTACACCTACATATGTATTCTCTGGTGTACCGAGTAACGCTAACCAAGGGAATTCGAGTCCAGGACTTGTCTCCCTGGTTGCACTCAGTGCAGATGCAATCTCGATTGCATTAATTGAGAATATGCGTCTGTTTACACTGAATCAAGCGAACAGGCTCATATAAGGCTGCTGCGCGGGCGCGCACACACATGTGCATACAACACGGAATATCCGGCCTACACAGAAGGAAATGTTTTTACACGAGGACGCGTCCCAAGGCCATATTTTACACCACCCCACATCAAGGGCTGAAAATTTCCTATGAATCGCTGTGGACGGGAAATTAGCTCTTGTCTTCCATCCCAACGAAGGCTTAGGGGCTGTTTGTGCGAGTTGTTTCACACCCATAAGCCTCGAGCGTTAGGGAAGGGTAGTATTTTACGAGACGTCATACCCCAGACCCAGCACCAGGTGACGCTATAGTCTCATTGTCTCGGTGTTTTGAGTGTGGGGCCTTTTTTTTTTTTTTTTTTTGTTTCGTTATGCCAACATATCACATACGTTTCTCGGGCTTCCATCAATAACCTCCTGGGGTCATCAAGCCAAATTTATGACTGGCCAACACCGTCACGTGATTCTATTTAAACATCCCATATTTGGGCAGCGCACATAGAATAAAGAAAAGAAGAATCTCCACCTATAAATTCTGCACTTTAGAGAACAAAAAACCCTGAACTTCAAAAGGGCCACAAATCAAGCCTAATCAAAGGGGTGTGAGAGGGAGAGAGAGAGAGAGAGAGAGAGAGAGAGAGAGAGAGAGAGTGGGGAGGAAAAAAAAATATAATTCCTGACATGAGTTCCTACGTAGCCAATTCGTTTTATAAGCAAAATCAAAATGTTCCTGCCTATTCCATGCAAAGTTATGGGAATTATGGATCTGTGTCTGAGGTTCAGCCTTCCAGGTATTGCTACAGTGGGCTGGATCTGAGCATTACATTCCCTTCATCTGGGGCTTCCAACTCTCTGAACGGTGTGGACATGTCTTCAACCCCCAGACCTAACCCCGACCGACCTTCCTGTACAGTCATGGGATCTGCAGGGCACACTTTAGGCAGAGACGACCAGACCTCTCTAAACCCAGGAATTTACAGTCAGAAAGCTTGTGGCACCACCACAGCCACCAGCAGCAACAACAACAGTACGCCGTTGGAAGATAGATCTAAGAGCAGTGGGGAAATCAAGAGTGAACCGGTGCAAACAGCTCAGCAAAGCGGGCAGTCCATGCACCAACAGCAGCACCACCAGCAACAGCAGCAGCAGCAGCAGCAGCAGCCACCACAAATTTATCCGTGGATGACCAAACTACACATGAGCCACGGTAAACTTTCGCTTCTCGATTTTGTTTCACAGGATTTGCCTTGGTTTTATAGGCCATACGGGGCAAATAATAAGGGGGAAAAAACCTGGGGTCGTAAATTTTACGACTAAGGCATCAATTGCTCGTAAAACTGTCCACTAAAAGGCTTAGAGGCGATATACGCCCAAATTTATGACGGCATAATTGGATCATAGAAACAAAACGGGTATAAAGGCAATATTCCATTTTTTTGTTGGGGGGGAAAGAAGGGAAGAATTTTTTTAAGGGGGAGAAATAACTTGGAAAGGCTCGCGTTCTTTAAGAGGAAGGAGAGAGGGGCTTAGGAGTTTTTTCAGACCTTACCACATCATTCCATAAAGTCAGAAGTTTTGCCTCTTTCCTAACCTAGGGAAATGGGCGACTTGATCTATTCCCCCCCGCCTTCTTATAGATACACTTCTTCGTGGTTTAAAGGGAGAACACTTCATTAGGGACTAACCTTAGCTTGAACCCAAAACTTTAATGAGAAAGTGTTGGAAAATGCCCCTCCTCTATTAAATATATTAAAAATGTATTCTGGGTAGAACCAAGAAATCTCTCTCGCCCCCCCCTTTAATACCTTTTCCTTTCCTATTCCCTTCTTTTTCTTCTTTTTCTATTATTATTATTATTATTATTATTATTATTATTTTAGCGGTTTTTTTATCCGATGTCTTTTGTCTTCCAGAAGCAGATGGCAAACGTTCCAGAACCAGCTACACTCGCTACCAAACTCTGGAACTAGAGAAAGAATTTCATTTTAACAGATATCTCACCCGCCGGAGGCGCATAGAGATCGCCAACAACCTATGTTTGAATGAGAGGCAAATCAAAATATGGTTTCAAAACCGGAGGATGAAATGGAAGAAAGATTCCAAATTGAAAAGCAAAGAGTCTCTCTAGGTAGAAATCCGGGCCAAGGGTTGGGCGGGGAGAGTCAGTTCACATTGACAAGAGTTGCTGTTGTTGTTGTAGCCTACCTTGAGAAAAGTTTTCTTTGGGAGGTGGGGAGAGGAAAAGGGCGGGTGGGGGGGAAGGGTCGCAGACTGGACTGAACTACATACTCTAACAAATCTATCAGACAAAGGCGTTCTCTTATTAGTATGCAAACAGACCCTTTAGCTTTTCAGCTAGAATTCAGTGTACAGCTCGCTGGAGGGTTGGTGGGTTTTGTTTTGTTTTCCACCACACCACTCTAACCTGTGTCCCCTTAAATTGGGAGGAAATATGTCGGTCAAATGAAAACCAAGCCAATGGGCGACATTTGAGAGGTCCTTTTATCTAAAACCTATATCTCTGTCTATAAAAGATTACGCTGAAGATCAGAATAATATGCTTAGGAAACCCAAGTCCAAGTTATGCATAAAAGAGGGGCTCCTCAGGACTTTTGGAAAGTCCCGAGGCCCCGATCCTTAAACGTCAGGCTTGGAAGTAAATCCCGTTGTGAAAGGCGTGGGAGTTTACCTCTGTGTCCAACGCGGTGGACGGGCGACAAACCTGTTGTGAGCACTTATTTCTCAACCAGTCCCACTGAACGTGGGGGGACTTCCTTCCGAGTAAACGTGCATAGGATCGGGCTGCACGATCTAGGTGTGTGAGAATGTTTACTTCTGGTGTGGATGGTGAGTTTCCACACAATGTAGTTCCCTAGATGCACTTAACCTGAAACGTGGGGGGTGGGGTGGGGGTGATTTGTTATTGTGTTTTGTTTTGGGGTTTTTTTTAAAAAAAATATGCTCGCTGTGAGGTGTGTCCTTCTGGGGTGGGGTTGTTTCATTTTATTATTCAACCCCCCTCCTCTCCGTTGACTTATTTTTGTATTATTTGCATATGAATGAAAAGCGAATGGACTATGAACGAATCTGCTTGACCATCTCTCCTAGGAGATATTTGTGCAAAAACATTAAAGCACTCTTGGGGTGGGGGCTGGTAAGAATGTGTGTGCGTGAATTCTCCCGACTTAAATATTCCTGTGTATTTATTGGTTGCGTAATTAATGTAGCTTTGCAAAATAATAATAACGATAAGAACAACGCTGAACTCTTATACAAATGTATACTTTTTGTTTACATGTAGCCCTTTTTATTCACCTCCCCCTTCCTTCTCCCCGATGTTGTATTCCATATATTTATTGGTTGTAATATCATATGTGAAAGGCCATGGAACATATACAGTATATTTTGTCATATTGAATAAATGCTAAAATAATAAATAAATCAACACCTAAGGCCAATTTTGGAGTGCGGGAGAAAAACGTATATGAGGTGCCTTTGCTCGAGCGCTGTCTCCAAACCCGCACTTCCACTGTTATTTTGCTGTCAATTGTTTTCAAATATATAAATATGTAAAACGAGAACAAATCCCCGTCAGTCTGAGGCACGAGCCATCCAAAGTTCAGCACTTGTGAAGTCATATTGATTTCAGTGGGAGAGTTTAGCACAAACCTCTTGCAATGAAATCGATGGGACTTCCCAGGCGCTAAACTTTGGATGGAACAAGCCTCTGGAATGAAGCTCAGAATCCCATTCAACGCAATGAGATTTACTTCAAACGCAAGTTGGAAGTAAGCCCCATTGAGGCGGGGGAACAATTTCAAGCAAGGGTTGCAGTGGAAATCGGTCAAAGCCTAGTGTTTAACTTCGGGTGGGCTATGGGTTGGGCTTTTATGTATCTTATGTCGCCCCTGCTGCGTCCCCAATAAAAGAACTTTGGGTGATGTGTACTCAGTTGTAGGTCTCGTCACAAGCTTTCTGGAGTGAATGCCTCTTTTTTGAACTGTTGAACAATTCTTGACCTGTCCTAGTGTTTGAACAACATAGTTCTGGGTTCTTCAAAAGTCCTCCAAAGGTCTTCGTACGATCGCTTTGTTTCTTTCCCTGATAATTCCTTCCTTCAGTTTACAATAATCTAATAGTCCAGATGCAGGCAAGACTACCTTTCTAAATAAGATTGCCTTTTTAACCCTGTAGAACAGAATTACCGGGCTAGGCTCTCGGCCCCTCCCTTCAGACAACTTTCCATCGACATTAAGTGAAAGTTGTGCAAGAACTGGGCGATTTGTGAAGGCAGTAGGTCTTTCTGAGACGCTGTGTGTATGTGTGATCACTAGAACAAGTACGACTGAGTTGGGCAGAGAATGGTAGGATTTAACCCTGGGCTGCGCAAAACTTCAACGTGTGGTTTATAAAGCACGATATTTGCGAAAGTTTCTCTGGTTTAGGTGCAATATAAGAAAGCTAATAGTCCTCTACTCCTTTTGAAACCTGTAATCTCTTTCTATGCGTTTAAAGATGACTTCTATGCCTATCTATGATTTCTTCTTCTTCTTCGTCCTCTTCTTCATATAGTAGTGTTATTGGATTCAGTAATGTAGGAGTTTGGGGCTATGCATGTACAGGCCTGTGGAGATTGGGGAGGGATAAAACTGTGCATGTATATTTCACGTATGTGTGTGTTTCACCAGACACACACCAACTATCTCTCACACAGTCACACACACCGGAGGTCATGCCTGAGGTGTTTTCGGAGCTATTTACAGTACAAACGCTTGGGAGAGACCCTCAATGGCTCAATAAACCTTTATAGTATTTCCTTTACACATTTCAAACAATGGAGCCATTTCCTGAACCTGAAAACAAAAGTTTATTTTAATGACAGTGGAAGCTCTTAAGGATAAAACTGGCTTTACCTCCTAAGATTCCCAGCTTTTCATGGAGTCCCTCTGACTTAAATAGTGCTCTATTTCTGAAGTTTATTGATATTTTATTATTGTAGTTATTATTTAGTGTCCTCTTTGAGAAGATCAAATAATACTGTCACGAAGGCGATGACAATTTATGTTATGGCAATTTTACAGTCCACTTGAAAGTTTCCTTTCCCTCCCCTTTCCAGGCTTAACTTGTCATATGATTTGATTTTACGCAAATATCAGTCAAATCATGTAACGGAGATCAAAGCACTGGGGTTTACTCTATTCCATTTTTGTTTGATCCAAGAGGAGCCTTCCTTATTGTCTTGTGTTTGCAAATCATGTGTGCCTTCCCAGGAGTATCAGCAGCAGCAAAAACAACAACAACAACAACAACAACAAATATTGCAACATTGTCTGAGCATTTAAATGTATATATGTCATCTTGATGTTTGAAAATAATAAGCTACCCTGTGTAAATCTATGGAGTGTTTATTGAGGCACCGAAACAGACTTGGCAGATCTTGATAGCTGTGCACTGAAACCAAAGGTGGTTGTTTTTACATCTGTTTCGTTCTATTTGGTCTTCTCTGCTCACCCCACCCCTAAACCGTGGTGTTTCCTTTCCCTTTAGTCGGAAGTCTGCCAGGGAATAATTGGGTTTGACAGGTTAGAATTAACAAAATCAGATGTTCTATTGTTTTATCTTAAGGCGGGGGGAGAGAAGCCTTTACGCACATAGTAGTCCAAAACTTTTCCATTATCATAACGCAAGCCAGTCGGTTATATATACAGCCATATATATATATATATATATATATATATATATATATATACACACACACACACAGCCTTGTGAATAATTGTGCGTTGATCCAGCGAACAACGTGGGTCTATTTGGGCCTCTTCCCTGTCTTTTTAAAAAGTAATTTTTCAGGACTGATTAATATTTGGTTGTTGGGCTTGTCATTGACTTTTGCTATTCAATATCTAACAGCCCCCCTCCTTCCACTCTTTCTCCTGCTTTTCAGTCCGTTCCTAAAGAAGTCTTGCAAAGCCAAGAAGGAAATGAAACATCGCTTACCTTTCACTGTCATCCGTGTCAACACAGTGGGGACTTTAAAAAGGCCTCCAAACAAGAAAGGGAGGGCGAGGGAAGGGGGAAAAAATGACAGACCCAAAGTTCCAGTGTGTGCGCGCGTGTGTGTGCTTTAAAAGAGAGGATGAAAAATAATAACAATAATAATAATAATAATAATCCAGGACTTTTTGAGCCAAGGCTTTGACTATCCCTGAGAACATTAGCAGAAATACCCATGGCTTCTAAGTGAATTTAGTAGTTTAAAACTTTTGAAGGTTATTTATGTGGATAGCCCAAAGCAAAAGCCCTGAATGGCTCTCGGTGAGCACGTGATGTCATTAAACTAAGTTTTATGGTTTGGGGGAGCTGACATACCCACAATATATTTACATCATATATAATCTTAACTGTCCACCATCGCAGCTGCTGGAGCTGTTTAATGCTGGGACAGTGGGACAAGGCAGTTAGTGCGGATTACGACGTCTTGGGCTGCTGTTAGGGAAGGCACATCTTCCCAAATGGATCCCTGGCGAGATCAGTAAGTTAATTTCTTTCCCCCGCTTTTTTTTTTTTTTTTTTGCGCGCTCCTCTCCCCACGCCATCCCCTCCCAGCTTCTAACATGGTATCCAGCTTTCTTGTGGAGGTGCGGGGTGGGGGGGTAGAGGAATTCAGTTGCACCTTGGCTACGAAGTTGGGGGAGGGGTGAAAGTGTGGAGCGTAAGGCTTTTTCCTCCAGGGTGATGGAGGTGATGGTGTGGGGAAGCTTTCTGGAGCGCACGTCGAGAGTGGCGGTTATCAAGAAGCAAGATCAGACCTTTGTTCCCCTTCCTGACTTCCTCGGGGCTTGTGGAAAATGAGATAAGGACCCAAACCTTCTTCTACTTAGTTAGGCAGCGGTTGATTCATTCCCTTCTTCTCCCACCCGCTTTCTACACCTCTCTGAAGACGCTCGAGATCTGATGGGGTGGTGGGAGTTCCCCCCTCTGAACAGAAACTTTCGGTCAAAATGTTTGGACTGCCTCTTGCAGCTGGGTTGAGAGATACATTTAAATGTCCCCGGGTACAATACTTGCTTAATGGGTAGAAGAAAAAAGAAGTTTGTGTGGTGGTGGTGGCGGCGGCGGGGTAAAGTGCATGCGCGCTGGAGTTGGGCTGAGACGTTGGCTGCTCTGTACGCATCGCGGGTGTTGGCA